CTGCACTAGCTTCCTAAATAAAATTCAGCCTTTGTATAATATAATGACAGGTAAATAGGTGTAAAACATTTTAGGAGGTGATAGTACAGCTCCTTTGCTATCAAAATTAGTATATAATACCATACCCTATATTCAAAAGTTATGGAAGATTGAATTTTTTTTAAAAACAACCCAGATTACAGAGTAAAATAGTTGAGATAAAAAAAGTTGGTGATTAAACATTCTTTTTTGGTGTTTTCAGGTTATTATTTAAATAAATAATTCTCATAAATTAAAGAACATATGAAAACACTACTGAAAACGTATTTATTTTCATTTAAATGTTAAATGAAAATTTTTATTTTCAACTTTCACATTAAGAAGTCTTTTTTTTCAAAAAAATCATAATAAAGAAAATGTACAAATAACTGCAAAAACTTCCTCGTTTCTTTAGGTTTCTAAAATGGTATAATAACATATCAGTAAGTAAACCATTAAACAAAACAATATTACTTTGCTAGAAAGGACCGCTAAGTGCATTTCATTGTACTGAGCAGGTAAACCAAGCCTTTCATGGTTCGACCCCTTTTGTTATTTTTTGTGCCCTGTGCCGTTATTCGGGTTTAAGTATTCGGAATCTGTAGTCGCTCCTCGGAAGCAAGCTCTGCGTGTGTTTTGAATTGACACAGCTGACGGATCAAGGAAAGGGAACTAACGCTTAGGTTAGTTAGTAGAATATCAACCTTTAACGCTGTAGGACGTACTTTTACTTTTTTGATCAGTTTTAATAATGGCGAGTTACCGTAACGAAGAATACGCTGATATGGTTTAAGTGATGGAAATTCCGTTGAAGCCAGGCGAGAATACGAAAACCGTTTTCCGAATCGGCGAATACCGAGTCATCGAGTATTTGCTTCTGTGTACCAACGCGTCAAGGAAAGTGGACAGGTTCATGAGAGACGTCATGATGCTAGTAGACCTCGGTTGTTTGACGACGAAGATCGAGAGGCAATACTGGAATGCTACGGCAGAGACCCGACGACGCCTACACGAGTTATAGCAAAGCAGCTTGGTTTAACTCAGTGGAAAGTTTGGTTCGTTTTGCATTCGGCGAGACTTTACCCTTTCCATTACACACCGGTTCAAGTATTAGAAGAAGGAGATCCGCAAGAAGAATTGATTTTTGTCGATACATGCTTCATCGGGATCAAGAAGAAAACGACTATTTAACTAAAATATTGTGGACCGACGAGTCTAAGTTTGACAGAGAGGGGACAACAAATTATCACAACTTACATTATTGGGCCCCACGAGAGGCAAATCCCCACATGGCAAAGCCCATCAAAGAAGATTTTCGGCAAACGTGTGGATGGGAATCATTCATACGTATTAATTGGACCAGTTTTTTTGCCTGACAACCTGAATGGCGAATCCTATGAAAACTTTTTGAGATCCGAACTCTGGGAGTATCTCGAAGACCTGCCTCTGAATATCAGGATGCAGATGATCTGCCAATACGATGGCTGTCCCGCGCATTTCCGTCTGGGTGTTAGATAGTGGCTGGACGAGAAATATCCTTGGATTGGCCGAGGTGGACCGACACCCCAGATTTAACACCGTGTGACTATTATTTATGGGGGCACATGAAGTCATTGGTGTACGCTGAGCCCATAGACACTCTTGCACAGTTGAAAGAAAGAATTATGGCTGCTGCTGACACTATCAGAGGACAACTAACTGGCCGCATCACGTGTACCAACATGAGAAAAAGACTACGGGCTTGCATAAGAAACGGCGGACGTCAGTTCGAACAACAATTGCAATGAATTTTACCTTCATTTCATTATTGTATTTTACTTACCAATTGTAGTAACTTTTAGTCAGTTTTTATTATTCTGTAGTACAATTACAACTGTGTAAATAATCTAATCGTGTAACTTAACCGTAGTTTAAAATAATAACTATCCCATAGCTTACAGTTACATTATTTTCACAAAAACACTTTACTCCCTATTGTTGTATGTATGTGTGAAACTCAGTTTTTGTGCACTTATCACACCAATTTAGATTCCTTATGAAACAAGGATATTATTTAAATTGTTTGTACGTTTTTTTGTATACTGATTTTTTTGTAAAACAACTTACTTACTGTAAAACGTTATTTGTCTTTCTTAGTTAAACATTTTTGAATGAAAATAAATACGTTGTTTGGTATTGTTCTCGAATCTTTTTTAATTTATAATAGTTAATTATTGAAATAATAACCCAAAACCACAAAAAACAAATGTTTAATCTCCAACTTTTTTCTCTCTCGACTTTTTCACTCTGAAATATGGATTGTTTTTAAAAAAATCTTAAATCTTCAATAACTTTTCAACCTTTGAATATAGGGTATGGTATTATATACTAATTTCGATAGCAAAGGGGCTGTACTATCACCTCCTAAAATGTTTTACCCCTATTTACCTGTCACCCTGTAGATATAATAACTGTCAGATGCTTAGACCATTCATACAATAGGACAGCCATGAGACAAAAAATATGGAATATACAGGGTGACTTTGAAGTTGAGTCATTAATTTTCAGATAATGATTGTAGAAGGAAGATAAACCAAAATATGTGTGTAAAAATAAAAAAAATTAAAAAAAAAATGTTACCTTGTTTTATAAAGTATCCTCCCGACAAGTATTTCAGTGCGGACCTGTGCGCCCAAAAGCATGTCACAAAAACTGTTCGAAATGATTTCCGTTTTGCTCGACGCACAGCTGGGCGCGTCTTAGCCATGTCTCTTTACAAGCACGCAATAAAATCACTGGTTGATTTCTGATCACTGTACTCATTTCCTCAATTCGAGCACGTAATTCTTCGCGTGTATTAACCGGTGTTTTATACACTAGAGTTTTTAGCCAACCCCACAAACAAAAGTCTAAAGGATTTAAGTCCGGAGACCTTGGCGGCCAAGGTACAAAACCGCCACGGCCGATCCAACGATTATTAAATTGTCTATTTAAAAATTCACGCACATTTCTTGCATAATGGGGTGGTGCCCCATCTTGTAAAAACCACATGTTTTGTCTAATATTTAAAGGCACATCTTCCAGTAAACCAGGCAAAATGTGTTGCAAGAAATCAAAATAATTTTCACCAGTTAAGCGATTTGGTAATTCAAAAGGCCCCACTAAAATTCCATTAACAATTCCCGCCCACAGGTTGATTGGTTCAAATCGCTGTTGAAAATTGGTTTCCCTTATTTCATGGGGATTTTCAATAGCCCAAACGTGAGAATTAATAATTCCGTTTCTAGTAAAGAGGGCTTCATCACTCACTAAAATTTGATTTAAAAAATTGTCATCATTTTGATGTTTATTTAAAAGCCAATTGCAAAAGTCAACCCTTTGTTCATGATCTTCCGGTTGTAAGGCCTGCACTTTTTGTATGTGAAACGGATAGAACTGATTTTCACGTAGAGTTTTCCAAGTTTTATACTGACTAATCGCCAATTGAGTTGAAATTTGTCGGGTGCTTACTGTTGGATCATCACTTACTAATTCTAAAATTTGTTCTTCTAGTTCTATTTGATCGTGTGGTCTTGGAGCACCGGCATGATCTCCTCTGTGAGGTCTTAAGTCACCTGATTCACGAGCTCTTTGCACTACATTAACAGAGGCACGAGGGGTTGGTTGCACTCGATTGGGAAACCGATCCGCATAGATCCGTGATGCCGCGGCAGCATTTTGTAAAGACTCCCCAGTAAATAAGAACCATGTCCACAAGTTCAGCATTTTCGTAAACATGTGCCATTTTTGATTTGAGCCTCGCAACAGACACGATTATTCACTTACGCGTAACCGACTACCAACTGATACTGACTGTATACAACTGAAGAAAATAATTGTAAAAAGATCGTTCCAAATTCTTTCGCTGTTTTGTTTCCGATGCGATGAACGGATAAGGCGGATTATATCTTTTGTTGCCAAACACGAGAACATAATATCATTATTGAGACAGGGCGGTACTCAAACTTCCAAAGGGCTATAACTTTGTTACTTTAATTTTACCAGAAAAATGGTAAAGGAAAAAAACATTTCTTTTGATCAGATCTACTCACTGTTAAAATAAATGACTCAACTTCGAAGTCACCCTGTATAATATATTCCAAAACCCAGTACTGTACTTTGACTAATAAGAAGCGCCCTAGCGCTCATCTCGTTCCGAGGAATGGCCGTTCATTTTGGGTGGTCAAAGTACAAATCACCGAGGACTCGGTCTGGCACGAACACATCTCGTCAACAGTGGCAGTAGCATAACCTTCCCACTTTGTACAAGGCTCAGATGAGAGCTATCCTCAAGTACTGCTCACATGTTTGGGGTGCTGCCGCCCCGACTACATGCTCGATGGAGTTCATAAGAGGGCGGTCAGACTGATTGAAAACTCTTGTGTAACGGACAGTCTAGGCACCCCTTTCGGATTAACGGAGTTTCTTTAAGCTCAACATTTTGCGATGTCAAGTAGAAAATACGCCAAGATGTGAGGCACTGCGAAAATGTTTTGAGTGTGATGCGTCATTCCTAATTTTTCTGTGATTTCAGTAATAATTTTCTCATACATCAAATACTCGTATCACTGATTTTCTACACATGCACACCAATACACGCAATCACCATACAATCATCCAGATTTGATCTCACTGCTCTGCTGCTCAACTAATTTTCTATATCCTCTCAGAAATATACCCTACAGACTACCTCAGCATTCTGCAACCAACAAAGCATGCTGGGGAATTGACTTGCAGCTGGTCTTTGAGTGTGTCGTTGAGTCATCCGCCTCAGTTGACGCTTTTAGTGACGCTCTCAGCGCTCATAGCGAGCAAAAGCGGAACAAACTATTTGCACACTAGTCAGCAAATCGTTTTTTTGACATTATATAGGTTTTTTACGTAATAACCCTTCCGGACTGCTCTGACAAATAACGACGAATACTAGTAGCACTTTAGGGTTTTAGAATTAAAACGCCCATAACTTTATTCACTTGAACATTTATTTACACTTTAAGTATTCCTTGCGCTACATTCGCATGAATGGCAACATTGATAAGATCATTGCCCAAGAAATAATCAGTAGCCACAATGTTCGTTTCGTTTACCCATTCGTCTCTGAACCACTTTGTCACTTCTCCATTTATTTCTTGCGCGAGCTTTTTCAGACTGTTCGTCCTGAATATGATGTCCAACGGCGTAGGTGTCAACTCGGCCATGAGTGCCCACATTGGATTTGGTGAGACTGGTCGTTGTTCTCTGATAGTACGTTCTAGATATCGTTTCAGTTCGGGAACTTTGTTGGTGTCGCCCCAGAATTGTTGGAGTGGAGACCATAACCATTGATTATCTGAAAAGATGGAAGAGAGTGAGTTTGTGTAACAGAAAAAGAATATGCATGTTCCTTTACTATATGCTCAACAATACGTCAAACTGGGAGCTTCTAATCATATCATAGAATTAGAGGTGGTTATGGTTATGGTTATATGAAGAGAGGATACTTCATGGAATGTCTTTATAATCTGCCGCTCAGTTCCATTCTCTTTGGGGTTCTTCTGCATTCTAGTAAGCAAATTTTACACAGCGTGCTGATATGACATGCTGCAAACTAGTCAAATCTTACGTATTTTGATGCTCAACAGCAAATATGTCGAGTTTGCGATCTATTTCTCTTGGTTTGATGATTCCCTCATAGATGGCTCGACATTCTGCTACAGCTCCGCGTGTTACGCTTTGCATTTACCGAGGCGGTGTTGCCCAACTGGCGTAAAATGTTTAGAGAACGCTACATTTATACTGAGCACGAAATATTCATTAAATATTTATTCAATATTTAATCAATATCTTTTATATATTTCAAATATAATATTTCTTTTATAATATTCATCAAGTACTTACTTTTCAGTCAATGTAAAACATTAAAACTCCATTATTTAGAAAATATTCAATAAACATTAGAAATACTTTTTCAGAGTATAGAATAAATATTTATTTTTCGATTAATGGAAAATGCCGCTTATTCACAACATATTTAACAAGGAAGTGAAAAAGTGATCAATTTAAATTTAACGAAACGCGGCTGACAGATAAAAATTTTTGAGACATCCATGAATATCCTATGTACCTATGACCATGAGTTCACTATAGTATTGATTTTTTTACAGCGCGTGTAGCTAAGCAAGTGTAAAGACATAATTGTCCATATTAACTTATACAAGTTCGTACGAGTACATTACATGTGTATATTCCTCGACATGGAGATAACATAGGTCTGTTTACAACAGATGGTAATTTCTAACATGCCTTATCTAACGTAAATATGGTATGTTCCTCCAGTGAGGTTTTTTCGTATTAATATGAATCCACAGTTGCATCTTATAACTCTTTAAACATATGTCAGCGGAAAAAACGTAATCCATATACGAACACCAGATTTCGAATTTGGCGCCATCAGAATCCAGTTGTGTGTGTGACCCCGAGCGACCAATGGCACAATAGCAAGCCAACTTGAACCTGAGCCGACCCCCTTGTCGACTTCCAGTTTGCCTGTGAGAGCGTGCATCCTGTGTAACTCCAAGTGGTACATTATTTGAGTGTTTTTTTTTTTTTGAGGAAAGTGTAGGTTTTGCGGTAATTACTTAGCTTAATTTATCTGAAACATTATTGTGCCAGTTGAGTATAAAGGGTATTTGCAAGACCATAAATAACTAGCCTTGAAGTGTGACAGAGTTATTTGGGATAGAATATAATAGGGCCTCGTAGGACTTTGGGATTCGTGGATTTATCTGAAAATTTATAGGAAAATTATATTTATAAAATCCTAATGAGAAGTCACCACAATCTCAACTTGATCGAAATACATCAAAAATGTTTTGCCAGCGGTATTTTTGTCTTAGCAGGGGGCAAATCAGCTATAACTATTTTAAGATTTCAATAGTGATGTGCCACAGATTTTAGCAATCGAAAATACTATATTTCGCCTCTTGAATTATAATATAACCTCCCAAAACAGTTATGGCTAAATTAGCATCCTACTACTGCAAAAAGTCACATTTCAGCAAAATCAATAAGTGGTTCATTTTCAAAAACCCTTTTCTTTTTGAGTGCTAGTCTAAGGATTAAGTTGTGTCCATGTACATTTTTCATCAAGATATCTAAAACATACCAAATTTTCCTTCAAATTACCAAATCTCAAACTCCCATAAGAAGTATATGCCGAGTCCTTTTAGGTGCAGTTTGCAGCTGCTTTTCAGTTACTCACCCATGTAACATAGGTCCACTGCATTTTATATTCCTATATAATATAATTAGTGAGCTTGTTTTTTTAGGGGCATGGATTTGCAAGATGCAGAAGAGGTCTATAATATTATTTGATGATATTTTACTTTATAAACCCAATTTTAGAAAAGCATCCCTATAGATTTTGCTAAAATGACCCATGAAGAATTTTCAAGAATACACTGTGGTTGGTCAAGGCCTAAATACCAAGGACCTCCATAATTTAACCATAATAGACGGTCAATATGACCAGTCGTTCTTAGGTTTGGCCGGGTATGTACTTGTGAATGGGGTATTTTCGAAAACTTTTGTTATGACAAAATATTAGATGATATATTGTCTCAAAAAAGTATGGCATGTGTTTTTATTTTTTTTATGAATGAGTAGTTGTAAAAATTGCAAATGTTCAAGTATGACATATAGCGCCAAAAAAAACAAAGGATTTAAATGAGTTTTGTTTCAGTGTACGAATCACTAACTAAAAAATGAGTTTAAAACACATCGCCATTCAAAAAATAGCGTCAAGAAGTTCATAAAAGGTTATGTTTAGCACAAATCATTCCGTTTAGGAAACACGTCAACTACGAACATGTATAACAAAGGAATTAAATAGGCCCATACAAATAGTGTCTGGTCCCCACAAGCAACGGCGACGTTGCGATTACAATTCCAATGAATGAACAGGTAGAGGTAGCGGCTACATTGGTACAGGTTTAACTACTGTTTTCGTTGCGTGCTCCACTTGGGTGTCAGAAATGTTTCTATCGATCTGAGTATTAAGGGCAGTCTCATTTTCAAAATTTTCGCGTTTACATTGCTTCCTCGGCAATTGACGTGAGAAGAAATGAATGTTTGTGGAAGACGGTCCATTGCATTACGTAAAATTATTAAATGCATTGTTAAATGAATGTTGCATACCTCTTACTATTTCCCTCTCCGCATAGCAAATAATCAGATTCCTATTCCTGGCCCAAATGTCGTTTAGCGTAGGCCCTTCTCCTGATTGTAACTGCCAAGAGGGTAGAGCAAACTGTCCCAATTCTTTATACAGAATGTCTACAAACTGACGATGAATTTCATGCGAAAAGTTTGTTGGATATGGAAACCTATGGAAGTCTACCACAACGATTTCTTTTGGTGCTAGCTCCAGAAACTTTCTTATTTCTTGGAGAATAGGTCCTATTCTAGTTACTCGTATCAAGTCATGATTGATGAAGAACCTGAAAATGCAAAATAATTATACTTCAACGATATTATTCAAAAATATCTTGCGAAATTGTAATATCTGTCAAACGAGGAACAATACTACAATTAGAAGACATTTGATCCATTTTTTGTTTTTCCGGCAGACGAATAAAGACTAGGTAGAAGGAGCCAGTCAAAGATTTGCTTGTCTCCTGATTCTCATAGGCTGTAATGAGCATCGAAGTGTACTTGACATATATGTCAATTTTTTGACAGTCCTGTCACCAAAGTCATATTTTTACTGATATGTTTTAAACAATGTGAGTGTTTGCAGATAATAGTAGTGTTGGACGATATCAAGACATTTTTTACACCGAAGCAGCCGCGCAGACAGAAGCCTAAATGCCATAGCACCACGGCTGCTGTAGATCCCAAAGAAACTTCGTTAACCGGATTTTTTAACTGCCTAAGGTTAGTAGAACTGGGAAAAGCCTCCTCTTCTAAAGTTTTCGACAGTGTCGACACCCTAGCGACAAAGGAGCGGTCGTATCGGCCAGTCCTGGATGTACGGAGTTCGACATGGCTAGGATGGGAGGCGGAAGTTAGGCGGGTCTGTCTGGCGGGCACATCGCGCGGCAACGCAACGCTATCTCTTTGGAAGGCATTGATAAACAGTGCAATGAACTTATACAAGGGTGGTCCCAGAAGTACCCGGCCTGTCCTAGAGATGGCGATAGTTGTTTGAAAAATATCATTGTATTAGGAAGTATACAACCTATAAAGCATATGTGTCAAGTCTGAAGACGCCACGTTGTTTAGTATTTGTTTGGCAGCCATCAATACTGAACGTTTTCAGTGAATTTGTGAAAATGGAGAAAATTGGTCATCGTTATGTGGTACAATACTGTTATTTTAAAGGCCTCAGCCCAACCAATATAAAAGCTAAACTGGATTCTACTCTGAGTGAGTTTGCTACTTCGTTTACAATAGTAAAATATCGGGTAGCAGAGTTTAAACGAGGCCGTATGAGCTACCAAGACGAGCATCGCAGTGGTGGACCAAATGAGGTGACGACTCCAGAAATGGTGAAGAAAATTCACAAAGGGGTACTGAATGATCGTCGACTGAAAGTGAGCGAGCTAGCAGACATAGTAGGCATTTCAAAAAGTGCGGTTCATCGCATATTATCTGAAAATTTGGACATGAGAAAGCTGTGTGCAAGATGGGTGCCGCGAATGCTCACAATCGAGCAAAAACAGTGTCGTGAAGATGTTTCAATTGAGTGTTTAACGAAGTTTCACACCAATAAAGCAGCATTTTTGCGTCGTTTCATAACCATGGATGAAACATGGGTCCATCACTTCATACCCCAGACAAAAGAACAATCAAAACAATGGACTCAAAAGGGACAACCGGCTCCAAAGAAGGCGAAGACCGTTTCATCTGCAGGGAAGTTTATGGCGTCGGTTTTTTGGGATGCGCGTGAGATAATTTGCATTTACTATCTTGAAAAGGGTAAAACTATCAACGGCGAGTATTATGCGAACTTATTGCAGCGTTTGAGCGATGAAATCAAGCAAAAACGGCCGCATTTGGCTAAGAAGAAAGTATTGTTTCATCAAGAGAATGCACCAGCTCACAAATCCGTTATTGCAATAGCCAAAATTAACGAATTAAAGTTTGAATTACTACCCCATGCATCCTATTTACCAGCCCCCCTCAGATTATTTTCTGTTTCCAAACTTGAAAAAATGGCTCAGTAGTCAAAGATTTTCCAACGATGAAGAAGTGATGTCGGCAGTTAATGGCTATTTTGAGGAGCAGACAGTTCTTATTATAAAAAGGTTATCGAACTTATTGAACGTCGCTGGGAAAAGTGTATAGAGCTCAAAGGAGATTATATTGAAAAATAAATACACTTTTTTACAAAAATTTTGTGTTTTCTTCGTTGGGTCGGGTACTTCTGGGGCCGCCCTCGTATAGGCTTGGCTGCCATTGCTGAATAAAAGAAATTGTTTAGAGCCTCCAGCATGATCGCCAACTTAACTAGTGTCATCTACCTTTAGCTTTCCTGATTACTCTCGTTTAACAAGAATTATTACTAAATTTGATACCTACCCTTCACGGTTATAATACCCGATCCGAAAATCTAGATAGCGTATACCGGAAACCAGTTGTGTCCATACATTTCTGTCCTGATTCAAAACATAATTTTCAACTAGTGGCGAAACACCAGCGTACGAACCAGAATCGTGTGTCCCTGGTATAAACATGGAACCTATGTTGAGCTTCCCAATCTTATCACTGAAAATAAAAACAAAATCACGATCTGAAGCACAATATTTATAACAATTTAAGCAATAGTAGTTTTTATATCACTGATAGAATGATGTATTTTCTATTAAGAAAAAACTCCATCGAAAAATATCAATAGCACTATTATTTTTTATAACAAAATATTCGACTTGCTTTATTTATTAATGAATGAGAGGTGGAACCTGATAAATTACTGAAAATTGTAGGCTCTCAAAAATTACAATAGTTGCAATAGAGATGAAATGTTGAGGAATCTTGAATTAAACAGATTTAAACTGTCTTTCGGGAACTCTCCTGAATCGCAATCTATACATATAACGGGTGATTTTTTTGCTAGTATCTTTTTGGCGACACTGTTTTTGACAGATGACGCGTGAATCGTGTCTTGTGTCATTGTCAAACTTGTTCAGTTTGGTCTGTAATTTAACCATGAATCGACTTACGAATGAACCACGCTTGCAAATTATTGAATTTTACTATCAAAATTCATGTTCGGTTAAGAGAGTGCATCGAGCACGGCTTCCAATTTATGGGCAATTTGGTCGGCCTACTGAGGGAGCTATTCGGAAGCTTGTGACTAAATTTCGAACCCAGTTTACATTATTGGACATTAAACCACCAACACGCAGACGTAGAGTGAGGACTGAAGAAAATATTGCGGCTGTATCCGCCAGTGTTAGTGATGACCGTGAAATGCCGATTCGCCGCCGTTCGCAGCAATTGGGCCTCTGTTACTCCACTACGTGGAAAATTTTGCGACAGGATTTGGCTGTAAAACCTTATAAGATACAGCTGGTGCAAGAATTAAAGCCACACGACCTCCCACAACGTTTCCCATTTGGTGAATGGACGCTGGCAAAGTTGGAGGAAGATCCACATTTTTATCGAAAAATTGTGTTCAGCGACGAAGCTCATTTTTGGTTGAATGGGTACGTTAACAAGCAAAATTGCCGCATCTGGAGTGAAGACTTTTTTTTGCCCAAAATGGAAGAGCTGGACTTGGCTGACATGTGGTTTCAACAAGACGGTGCCACATGCCACACCGCACACGAAATAATAGCCCTATTGAGTTGGGTGAACAGTTTATTTATCTCACGTTTGGGGCCCGTCATTTGGCCGCCTAGATCATGTGATTTAACGCCGTTGGACTATTTCTTGTGGGGCCATGTTAAGGCTAATGTCTACAGGGATAAACGAGCAACCATTGACGCAGTAGTAACTAATATTGAAGCATTTATTCGTGAGATACCGGCCGATATGTTGGAGAGAGTGTGCCAAAATTGGACCTTGCGCATGGGCCATCTAAAGCGGAGCCGCGGCCAACATTTACATGAAATAATCTTTAAACATTAAATTATATCGACCGTTATATCGACTCAAATAAAGATTTAATCGTTTTTCAAATTTTTTGTGTTTTTTTTTTTTGAAATCAAATATTATACCTCTTAAAAAATCACCCGTTACTTGATAAAATTTCTATTGAAACCATCTGTCTCAGATACTTAAATAGGTACCTTTGTCTTGTACCTATTGTCACTCATCCACGTTGGCCGTATTCCAAGGCAGTTGGTGTCAAGAGTAACGTTCTCAGCAACAGCTGCGATCCAATATGGGTAGCAGTGTAGTCCAGGCTCAGCTCTAGTAGAAGCTGGATCGTACTCCCATCCTCCTGGTAACCATGGGTATCCGAACTTGATTTTAGTACGGTAGTACCCACTTGGGTAGTCTGAGAATTTCACTTTGGCAAGCACTCCTGGGTCTTCCTGAATAGAGGAATACATTTTAAATAACTAAACTGTAGAACTGTGTTTGAAAGGGTGTATATTCAATTTCGCTTATTACGAGACGAATATTTTCCTTCTAATTACAGACATACGAGGGATGTCTTTAAAGTTTGGCATATAGAAACATAGTACGCCGCCCGGATCGAACGTCAGTACTGAATCTTAACCTCACTCTTTAGTAAACTTAAATTCAAAGTTTCACAACAATACGTGCAGTGTTCTCACTACAGTGTATTTTTAAGTGTCACCAAGTCATTAGAAAAATGGAACTCAACCGAGAACATTTTCGCGCCATAATTCAATACAACTTTCAGAGACAATTATCGCAACAAGAATGCCTTGCTGAGTTACTGTCTGTTTTCGGCAACGAAGTGACACATTAGTCGACAATTGCCCATTGGTATGGAGAATTCAAACGTGGGCGGGTGAGTCTTCGTCATTGAAGATAGACATGTGACATATCGCGAGATGGAGCCACCCTTGAAGATCTCAAAGACCTCAATTCAAAAAATTTTACATGAAGAATTAGGAGTAACAAAATTAGTTTCTCGTTGGATACCCCACCTGTTGACTGAAGAGCAGAAAGCAGCCAGGGTTAAAAGGTGTCAAAAAACGCTTGACCTTTTCAATTCCGGAAACTCAAAAAATGTGTACAGCATTGTTAGTGGTGATGAATCGTGGATTTACTGTTATGAACCAGAAAATAAACGACAGTCGGCTGTTTGGGTGTTCCAAGGTGAAGAAAAGTCAACAAAAGTCATTTGTTCTCGAAGTGTTTCGAAAAGGATGGTCGCCGCATTTGTGTAAAAAACTGGTCATATTGCAACAATTTCTCTTAATGAGCAAAGAACTGTTACTGCGGATTGGTATACCACCATTTGTTTGCCAAAAGACATCACCGAGCTTCAAAAAATCAACCCCGAAAGAAGAATCATCCTCCACCAAGACAGTCCAAAAAGTCCAAAAAACAAGGCAGTATTTAACGGAAGAAAACGTGGAATTATTGGACCATCCTCCGTATAGTCCCGGTCTAATTCCTAACGATTTCTTTACTTTCCCGAAAATTAAAAACAAACTGCGTGGTCAAAGGTTCCAGTCACCAGAAGAAGCAGTTGAAGCATTCAAAAATGCCGTTTTGGATCTGCCAGCAAACGAGTGGAATAAGTGCTTTGAAAATTGGTTCGAGCGCATGCAGATGTGTATCAATCTTCGTGGAGAATACTTCGAAAGACAATAAAGTCATTTAACCCTACCTATCATGTTGTTTCATTTCCATATGCAAAACTTAAAAGACATCCCTCGTACCTCGTAGTATAGTCATAAATTTTGCTCTTGGTATACCACACAGGAAGAGTTACTGGGTATCAACTATGGCGATCTCGGAGGTGGTGTAATATTACCATAGCAAATAATCGGACCACTATCTTCGAAAATACGAATTACGTAATGACAATCTTAGTCAACGATTTTTTTAATTGGACCCTGTAGTTTTGATCACGGAAGTGGATAGAGATGAAAATTTTACGTTCAGCCATGAGCCTGGCTGAAAAATATTTTGACCTTCAACGTCCTTGTCGGTGCAATCATGAATTTGTAATAACATATCAATTATTTCGAACTCGTATGTCTATTTTAACTGCACAACTCTCCGTCCAGCCTAAACGAAATGTCATCAAAATATCGTCATTCCTTTGTCTAATCGCCCTGCACTAATAACGTGAAGATGATTCTTGGAATCTCTGAAGCTGTATGTCAATATTGGCGCGCTTCGTGTCTACTGGTCTTGCAATTGTTTGTGCTTTTTGAACGAATTTTGATAGATCATCATCGGTTAGTGTGAGTGATCGAAATGGCGGTTAGTGAAAACAACAACTCGTTACGGAAAAACGTAGAACAATAAACATTTTCTGTGATAGTGACCACTGTAATGGTGAAGCTTGAAGACTAGAAAAGCACGTATGACTGTTGGTGGTAGGTAAGAATAGTATAGTAGAGTTTAATACAGATATGAAATAAAAAGAAGCTTTCCAATAACTATAGGTGCAGGTTTCCAAATAATTCAGCCTTTGGTAAGTCATTTTTAAACATTTAGCCATGTAATTGGGTATGGGGTGTATGGCTATTATCGTTTAGTAGATTTCATCGTTTATGCAAATGGGCGCCCCTGAACTTCTAAATAATAATAATAATAATGTTTATTTGCAACATACAGTTAGGTGAAAATAGTAGCAAAATATATTTAAATGAGATATATTACAAAAAAAGGGCTGGATGATTACCTATTACACATTCATATATATATATATATATATATATAATTGCATATGTGCATTCATTTCGGGCCTGATGAAGCCAACCAGCAGAAATACGTATCGCTCGGGTTACCTATCCTACATTCTGCTCGAATCCACTTTTTGCGGATTTTGCCCATTATTTTCCTATTTTTGTTATATACCTTTCTCCGCATGATAATTTTCTCTTTATATATATATACACACATACATACATATATATATATACTTACATATATAAAAAGAAAGATCTACCTTAGAAAGCCTGGAATAATAGATTTAGAATAATAGAGTTATAGTACAAAAAAACTCTTTTTCATTAGTTTGGTCACTTGTGCCTCAGTTACATTAATGCGCGCTGAAGTGTTTTTCAAACATAAATTTTTTATATTTGATTTTGAACTGGTTTGGATGCGGAATTTTAAAGTCATTAGGAATTTGATTGTAAAGCCGGTAAATGTTGTATAAGAAAGATCTACAAAAAAGAGAAGTTTGATGAGGAGGAGGTGATATGTAGCCCGGAAACCGCAAATTTAAGTGATGGACATCGGTGCGAAAAGTTATTCTATTGAATAAATATGGTGGTTGCTTAAAAAATATAATCTTGTGAAAAAGATTACATGCTTGCAACTCACATCGACATCGCGTATTCAACCGGTTTGCATCAAGCAACTTATGTTAAACTCTTTCAAACTTACACCATAAATAAATCGTAGGCAGGACTTCTGTTCAGGTTCAATTGTATCCATGTCAATCTTGTCTAAGCAAAACCCATAAACGCTGTTACCAAAATTAAAATGGCTGGAGTACTATTACTTCACAAAGCAATATTTTAAGTTTAACAGGGAGGATATATCGATGAGCATATAGAAATTTTTGGAGGAGCATAAACTTTGTGGATACATTTACTAATATAAGGCTTAAATCTTAGATATGAGTCGAATTCTACTCCCAAATTTTTCACAGTGGCAGAACAAGGTAAAGATTCACTTTTTATTTTGACCTGAAAAGTGGGTACAATATTGTCTCTCAATCTGCCAAATAACATTAGTTGTGATTTGCTTGCATTAATCTGTAGGCCATGATTTTCTGAAAATACAACTAATCTTTCAATATCTCGATTAATAATGGCCAATGTATCACGTTTCTTCTAAAGGCTTGAGGTATACATACTAAAAATCAGAAATCCTAAAATGGAGCCTTGTGTAATACCCGATAGGATGACATCTTTGGAGGACATACCTTTATCTGTTTCTACATATTGTGTTCTGTTAGTTAAATAGTGGCACATAAGAGTGCTAGCAGATTCGAAAAACCCTATATAGTGTAAAATACCAAACAGCATTTCGTGATTTAGTTTATCAAATGCCTTGGAGTATTGTTCTCAGTTAAATAATCTCTTATTTGTTGATCCAATATAATCTCTATTAGTTTTGATAGCACTGGTAAAATACTTATGGAGCGAAGATCATTGTAGTCGTTAATATCAGACCTCTTTGATATTGGTATAATTTTGGCAATTTTCCGTGAATCTGGAAATTCTCTATCTAAAATACAGGAGTTTATTATACTAAGTGACATATAAATCCGAACACCCAGTTTAAATGGTTTTATTTTAATAAAATTTTGTATAAGTACTTAATGAAGCATAATAAGTAAATGATAAAAATTTCAAAATGATTGCACTGCTTTAAAGCCCTTTGACCGTTAATAATGTGTGGATGCACCCTGATGTGCTACGCATTCTCCAACGCGCCTAGGCATGCTTCTGATCAGGTGGTCAATGTCCTCCTGTGGTATCTCATTCCAGGCAACCACCAACTCCTCTCGAAGTGCTTCTAGAGTCTGAGGAGGACGTTACAAATTGAGCAATCTCCTACTCATCATATCCCACACGTGCTCAATTGGGGATAAGTCGGGAGATCTTGGTGGCCATGGTAACAATGTGACATCATTATGTTGAAAGAAGTCTATTGTGACTCTTGCAACATGTGGTCGGGCATTATCTTGTTGGAAAGTTGGATCTGCCAGTGTGTCAAGTAGGGTAAAAGATGGGGTTCTAGAACTTCGTGGATATAACGCTGCGCGTTCATGTTACCTCTGATGAAGATTAAAGGTGACCTGGAGCCATAAGCTATAGCACCCCAAACCATAACTTCAACAGTGTGATGAACATGTCTTTCAACAAGAAACTGTGGATTCCTCCTTTCACCACGTCGCCTTCTAACCCTGGCACGACCATCGTGCATGCCTAAACAAAATCGAGACTCGTCACTAAAGACAATACTGTTCCATTCCTGATCCCAGAGTGACCGTTGTCTGCACCACTTAAGGCGATTGCGTCGGTGTTCTCGAGTTAAAGGGAGGACCCAGTGTGGCCGGTATGAAAACAAGCCAAAACTTCTCATTCGTCGGTAAACACTTCGCATGCCAATAGGTCTTCCGTGTTCTGCAAACCATTCATTTGCAATGGACCTGGTAGTGGAGAAACGGTCCCTTAAGGCCAATAATCTTAGGCGGCGATCTTCACGGTCTGTTGTTCTACGGCGGCGTCCAGTGCCCCTTGCTGTTTGCGTACGGCCTTCGCGAAGCCATGCCTGACAACACCTAACCACAGTGTCTACACTTCTTTGCACTCTAACTGCAATTTCCCGAAAAGCAAGTCCAGCTTCCCGAAGTCCTACTATACGGCCCCTATCAAACTCACTAAGTTGACGAAATTGTACAGGTCTCCGTACTCTAGGCATCGTAACCGATCGTAAAGGATGTCAAGAACCAAAATCCGCCAACGTTGATTCATTACTGCGGCTGAAATATTCATTTTTAGAGCGTTAGTGAATTAAAAAAAAGCAGTATAAAAACCGGAATGTCCAACTGATAAGGCTGAAAATTTGTTCACTTGTTATTTACAGTAAAATAAATACATTCACCAACTTTTATTAAAATAAAACCATTTAAACTGGGTGTTCGGATTTATATGTCACTTAGTATATATTTGGAGATTTAGGAGATGATTTTATGAGAACACAATAAGATCATTTCTAGCTTTAGACCATCAGCACCTATGGCAAGCGATTTAATTCTGAGAAGTGCATTTTTAACGACATGCTGAGAAACTGTGTGGAATTCAAAAAGAGTGTTGACGTGAGTACGCCTATTGATAAAATAGTAATCCAAAGTGTCATAGTCTATTGATGAGCTTGCTCGAGAGATCTAAAGAAAATGGTTATTTATGTCATCCGGATTATTCAGCTGATCGGGAATCGAGAAATCAAGACAGCTTCTTCTTATAAAATAAACAGCTGCGTATACCTAGTGTTGTCAGGGGTCATGTGATATTTATGACCCTATAATGTAAATTCGCGTCTTACTTCTAACCCACCAACCAATCATCAGCGCTGCAGTATATCACTCTTCTTCTCTTGGAAAGATCTTTCCCAGCATATAATACAATATTCCATTTAAAATAAGTTGTCAAAAACTGTCCAGTGTTTCAGAATCAGATAGACAGACCTCTTCGAAAGAAGATCGGTATACCTATCATACCGTAGCGTTATTACTCAATGATAAACTTACATCTCTCTCTGCGACGTTCTTGCTTGAAAGCAAAATGTATTCGGGCATCACATCGTTGTGGTCACAGTCGGTCACCCAATTCAGTTCCAAATTAGAGTGATCTTGCGACGATACCGTTAGATGAACCTGGCCGCAATTAGATCCACCTGGAAAAGCGCAACCGTAGAAAAACATCATCATTATTACATGACCAGCTAACTATACCGCACGCTTTCATCCGTACGAGAAAAAAGCAATTTACTGGAAAATTAGGAGCCGGCTCCGGTAAGGCTAAGGTAGCTTGGAAAGGATTAAGTGAAGAGTGAAAACCTGTTATTTATAATAGCTATGGTGATTCTAAAACTTTGAGACAATGTTAGCTTGGGATCTTGGATACCACACGGACACTTGAGCTTCAAATAAAGGAGACAAGGACGCCCAAACGTTAGGTAATTCAGTTCTTCTTCTCGATTTATTTGTAGTATCAATGTTATAAACATCGTCAGAAGTCAAAACACAGATGGAATACGAGGGATGACTTTTAAGTTTTGCATATAGAAACATAGTATGCCGCGCGGATCGAACGTCAGTACTGAATCTTAACCTCACTCTTTAGTAAACTTAAATTCAAAGTTTCACAACAATACGTGCAGTGTTCTCAGTGCAGTGAATTTTTAAGTGTCACCAAGTCATTAGAAAAATTGAAATCAACCGAGAACATTTTCGCGCCATAATTTATTACAACTTTCAGAGACAATTATCGCAACAAGAATGCCTTGGTGAGTTACTGTCTGTTTTCGACAACGAAGTTACACGTCTGTCGACAATTTCCCGTTGGTATGGAGAATTCAAACGTGGACGGGTGAGTCTTAGCGACGATTCCAGGGTGGGTGCACCAAAAACGGCAGTCACCCAGGAAAACGTCGATGCTATGCGCAAACTCATCATTGAAGATAGACATGTGACATATTGCGAGATTGAGGCGTCCTTGAAGATCTCAAAGACCTCAATTCAAAAAAATTTACATGAAGAATTACGATTAAGGAAATTAGTTTCTCGTTGGATACCCCACCTGTTGACTGAAGAGCAGAATGCAGCCAGGGTTAATTGGTGTCAAAAAACGCTTGAATGTTTCAATTCTGGGAACTCAAAAAATGTGTACAGCATTGTTAGTAGTGGTTTTACTGTTATGAACCAGAAAATAAACGACAGTCGGCTGTTTGGGTGTTCCAAGGTGAAGAAAAGCCAACAAAAGTCATCCGTTCTCGAAGTGTTTCGAAAAAGATGGTCGCGACATTTGTGTCAAAAGCGGGTCATATTGCAACAATTCCTATTAATGAGCAAAGAACTGTTACTGCGGATTGGTATACCACCATTTGCTTGCCAAAAGTCATCACCGAGCTTCGAAAAATCAACCCCGAAAGAAGAATCATCCTCCACCAAGCCAATGCAAGCTCGCACACAGCCCAAAAAACAAGGCAGTATTTAACGGAAGAAAACGTGGAATTATTGGACCATCCTCCATATAGTCGCGATCTAAGTCCTGACGATTTCTTTACTTTCCCGAAAATTAAAAACAGACTGCGTGGTCACAGGTTCCAGTCACCAGAATAAGCAGTTGACGCATTCAAAAATGCCGTTTTGGATCTGCAAACGAGTGGAATAAGTGCTTCGAAAATTGGTTCGAGCGAATGCAGATGTGTATTAATCTTCGTGGAGAATACTTTGAAAAACAATAAAGTCATTTAAAACTACCTACCGTGTTGTTTTATTTCCATATGCAAAACTTAAAAGACGAAAATCGACAATTACCAATTTGCATTCAAACTCGGTTAATTCAACTTGAGGAATTCACTTTCGGTAGTGATATTTTGGGGTACGTTTGCGGAGACAAACTCATTTTTTTACACCGAATTACCCGCGCAGGCAGAAGCCTAAATGCCAGGACACCTCGGCTGCTGTGAAGATCCCAAAGAAATTTTGTTAATACGATTTTTGAACTGCCTAAGGTGTAGATTGTTCCACGACACCCTTGGGACAAAGGAGCGGTCGTATCGGCCAGTTCTGGATGTATCTCGCAAATGAAGCAAGATATGAGAGAAACTCGAGGAAAAAAAAGTTTTATTTTTAACTGCTTCATTCAAAAAAACTAAATAAAAAAATTGAATAAAGTCAGTAGCACACAAATTATTTGTTAAAGATTTTGATTAGGGTGTTTTTCGGAAATTCAAAGAAAATCGACTAAAAGATATTTAGGAAAAACTTATTTTCAAAAAAAAGTTTCACATCTTGAAGATGAAGCATTTCTTGACCTATGTTTATAACAACTTTTCATCTTGAAATTACTCAAAGAATTACCTCCTGAAGTTTGGCCACGTACTTGAATAACATCCTGTATATAAGTCTGATGATTTTATATAAATGACATGAAACTTAAACATGTGTACGTGTAGAGTTATACAAAATACGGCGTTTGGTCATAAATCCTATGTATTACTTTACTTTAGTAATTTGTCTGTATTCACGGTTGTACGTTTAATTCTTGGTCGAGTTGGAAAATACCTTAATACCATTTCAAATCTTTGATTTTAAATCCTGGTGACTCACCTTACTCAAAATGAAAATTTATGTTGGAGAATCGAATAAAGGCATGTTGTTATTAATATTATTATTTTGGCAGACATGTACTCGTACGTTAGGCCAATGATTTCTTTCAAAACTTATTCTTAAAATCCCAATTATTTCTAAGCAAATGTGATCACCCTCTATGTCGCTCCGGGATATGGAGTTTTCTCGGTAGGCTCATTCTTTCAAAACAGACATATTTTAACAATTTCCTAGAAAGTGCGGGGAAATATTGGAGTTAAAAAAATGTTAATGCTTATACCATTTTCACCGCATCATTAAAATACCCCTGGTTTGCGAAATAATTGTGAAGTCTGGTTTTATTGGTGCAAGTTGCTCAAGGACGTATTTCAAACATGGACGCATAAAATGGGTACAGCAATTTTTGTGGGAAAACTTTTTATTCGACAACAAAGAATGAGAAAACGTGTTTTTGGGATTCAATCTAAAGTGTTGGCAGCAACGAAAAAACTCTTAATATATGATTTTTAGGTATTTATAAGACCTACAAAATGAGACCACACGTGAAAGTATCCGACTAATAGCAAAAAAGTTATGGCGGAAAACCGAGGTAAACTGCAGGTTTTGGCACTTCTCCAAAACAAAATTGGAGTAGTTTTTGTTTATCTCAAAACACCTATCTTCCGGCCATCACTACTAGTTTATTGAGCAATATACAGGGTTAGTTCAAAGGGCATTTTATGGAAAAATACACTAGCTTATCTTGCCGATATGAATCGCAAAACATTCCGGAAAGTAAATGTTATTTTTAAGCAAAAAACAAAGGTTACGTTTTTTCTTCTAAACAAATTCAAACATTTTGTATTTGTGAGTAATTGAACAAATGCGCTACGATTTTCGAAAAACATACGTTACTATAAACATTTTAAAATAAAGCAGATGTGTCTATCATATTTAGTTGTGAATTACTCATAAATATGAAATGTTTGAATTTGTTTAGAAGAAATTCATATCGGCAAGGTAAATTAGTGTATTTTGCTATAAAATGCCCTTTGAACTAACCCTGTATCTTTCTCAATAAACTAGTAGTGATGGCTGGAAAACAGGTGTTTTTGGATAAAGAATTAGAAATTCTCAAAAACTACTTGACCAATATAATCCAATTTTGTTGTTGTTATTTAGAAATATGAATCCTACGGATTTGAAGAATGTCAAGTAGTTGCGTGAAATTATCGTCGCATTACCAACAAGTGCCAAGACCTGCATTTTGCCTCGTTTGTCGTCCATAACATTTTTGATATTAGTCGGATTTTTTCTCATTCTTTGTTGTCAAATAAAAAGTTCTCCCACAAAAATTGGTGAACCCATTTTATGCGTCCATGTTTTAAATACCCCCTTGCACAATTTTCACCAATTAAACCAGACTTTAAAATTATTTCGGGGAAATTTGCTAATATGATTAGACTATACTGCGCTCTAATGGTAGCAATTATAATAGATTATTAATACAAAATTGCCTTTATCGTTAATAATGGATTATTAATAACAAATTGTCCTTATCGTCACGTCATTCACCACAACTATATTATATTTATGATTCTTACGTATATAGGTACTATACTAAGTGACATATAAATCCGAACACCCAGTTTAAATGGTTTTATTTTAATAAAATTTTGTATAAGTACTTAATGAAGCATAATAAGTAAATGATAAAAATTTCAAAATGATTGCACTTCTTTAAATCCCTTTGACCTTTAATAATGTGTGGATGCACCCTGATGTGCTACGCATTCTCCAACGCGCCTAGGCATGCTTCTGATCAGGTGGTCAATGTCCTCCTGTGGTATCTCATTCCAGGCAACCACCAACTCCTCTCGAAGTGCTTCTAGAGTCTGAGGAGGACGTTGCAAATTGAGCAATCTCCTACCCATCATATCCCACACGTGCTCAATTGGGGATAAGTCGGGAGATCTTGGTGGCCATGGTAACAATGTGACGTCATTATGTTGAAAGAAGTTGTTGTTGGAAAGTTGGATCTACCAGGGTGTCAAGATAGGGTAAAAGATGGGGTTCTAGAACTTCGTGGATATAACGCTGGGCATTCATGTTACCTCTGATGAAGATTAAAGGTGACCTGGAACCATAAGCTATAGCACCCCAAACCATAACTCCAACAGTGTGATGAACATGTCTTTCAACAAAAAACTGTGGATTCCTCCTTTCACCACGTCGCCTTCTAACCCTGGCACGACCATCGTGCATGCCTAAACAAAATCGAGACTCGTCACTAAAGACAATACCGTTCCATTCCTGATCCCAGAGTGACCGTTGTCTGCACCACTCAAGGCGATTACGTCGGTGTTCTCGAGTTAAAGGGAGGACCCAGTGTGGCCGGTATGAAAACAAGCCAAAGCTTCTCATTCGTCGGTAAACACTTGGCATGCCAATAGGTCTTCCGTGTTCTGCAAACCATTCATTTGCATTGGACCTGGTAGTGGAGAAACGGTCCTTTAAGGCCAATAATCTTAGGTGGCGATCTTCACGGTCTGTTGTTCTACGGCGGCGTCCAGTGCCCCTT